ATACTGAGACAAAGAAACCTGCAGGATGTGAAACGTAGTTCAGAAATATTGCTTGTGCACATTTCAAACCTAGATCTGCAGACCAATAACTCCCTTTAGCTGGACTCTACCTTTCCTGGGGTCTGAGAATCACTGTTCCCTGTGCTCTTCTCCTCTCTCACGCTGTACTTCCCTTTGGGAAGCTCAATCCAGCAGCATCCCACGACGTCGCAGTCCACCATAAACCTGGGATCACAAAGAGGCTCTTAAACTATAAAYAAAGATCAGATCACATGCGCCGCAGTTTGYATTCATTTTGCTCAGTATGGCGTCATTAAAAAGTAAACTGAAAGAAAAACCATGCATTTTAACTGTACGGGCACTGCAGAAACCAGCATGCTGTATAATATTCAACAGGGTTTATTGCAAACTAAATCCAGTTATGATGTAATGAGTCTGAATTACTCAAGAGAAACRGGTCATTTTAACACACGGTGTGAATGCATTAATAAACATCCTTGATTATTTGTATTATTCGAGGCACACACCTGATTTCAAAGTCTATGTTAGCCTCGTAGGACTGGTAACCCTGGATGGGGAAAGGGCCAAACTTAAAGCCTTGTTCAAGCAGTCGCTTTGCAGGGGCGATGAGACGAGGCATCGCCATGGTTATCCTCAAGAAATTCAGAGAGCGCTGCCCGTGGTAACCATACATGCCTTCAAGACAAAACATGAGGAAGCGATTGTTTTACAGAATAACATCACCCAGTTGTAAAATGACAGCGTAGATGCTACCTATATGTGTGTGTGTATATATATATATACACACAGTATATCACGATTTCTGATTACAGGTTAGATCAAAAACAAGATTTTGTGAACTTGTTTAAAAATCAATAAATGAAAGAACTCATTATTTGTACTTACTCTCTTTGCGAGTTATGTCCACAGCCAGCACCGTGACAGAGATGTTGTCTTTATTTGAGCGCATATCCTTTAGAACAGCAGAGTTTAACTCTCGTTTAAATTCACCCAGGTGATCAGATGTGAATCCTTTTCAAATGAACAGAAAAATGAAAACATTTTAAGTTCAATAATCACACATTAAATAATGCTTTTTACCGGCCAAAGCATAAATTGTGAAGATATTTGACAGCTCAGAAACAAAAGTGGAATTCACTGAAGCCTGGTCACCTTACAATGAAATCAACTAATTTTTGCAGTGAGGAAATATGGTGAATCAAATACTCACCAGTTGGTGCAGGAACATAGAAATAAGGTGCAAAGCCATGAACATGACAACACACACTGTTGCCATTGTCTGTTACGCCAAACATCCTAATAATTGGTACTTTTCCTTGTGACTGACCAGGCATGTTAGCCACTGATGCTCCTGCATGACAGAAAAAAGAAACCAACTYAGATTTCCTTTCTTCTTAGGTACCTTCATCTGATAGTGAAGGTATGTTCAACAATCTACGTTGCCACATCTTTTATTGTAATGACACTGGCTAGGCAAACACAARCATGTGTTAAATATTAGTCAGTATTTACCTAAATAATAGTCCAGATCAATTTGCTGGAACACCAGWGTATCGGATGATGGGTTCAGTGTGGGGGCATGAGGTCGACGCCAACGAGGGTTTAGATCTGCTGAGAAAAGATCACCTGAAGGGACAAGAAGGTAAGGCAGAGTTAGAACCAAAGGACACTAACTGCATCATTTATGTTTGAGAAAGTTATACATTACTAAACATACATCATAGCTTAGCTTTAGGTTGTTTTGGATGATCAGTTACAATCATAACTAACAATAGAAAAGCCACATGACATAATCCTTTCATAAAGGAAAGGGTTAAAATGATGGAGGYTGTGTGTAACAACTCACCCACAGGAATGACATCATGTCCCGCCTGCCCCTCTGTCTCCTCTGCATCCATCTCYGCATCATCGAACATGGATAACTCCTCTTCAAACTGTGATGGACTATCCTCCCATTCCCCAGCTGCTTTACCTCGCTTGGCCTGAGAGGCACCASCCAGGAGGGGGCCACCATTGCGTCTTTTAAAGTCCATGCCTACAAGTAATTAAAAATGTTATATTGGTGGTAGCATAGAAGTAAATCACTGAAAATATACATTATAATAAGATGAACTAAAACACAACAGTTTACCTTTCAGTCACCAAYRGAAACTAATGTTTAGGCAGAAATAMTACTTTTACACATTCTGWTTTTAGTATGTTTATCAGGCCCACAAGGGGTTAACATTAACATTAATGCATTAACAGAAGCAAATTAATCTTGCCAGATATAAATATACTGCGTGACATACATTTAATGATACATATTATTTCCAGCTTTTCATTTCAGACGAACAGCAAGAAAAAAAGAAAGGAAAAAAAGAAAAAGAAAAAAGTAAGCAACAAAAAAACACTTTGCCCATTTCAGATAGCAAAMCAAAGTGCTGTTCTTAGCACTACCCTATTAGCATTGATGGTTWAATATTTAAATGTATAAAGTCTGTTTAGCAGAGTTATGTAGAGCTAATGTTTACGACACGTGATTTTCTTCGTGAAAAATCAAGCGGCTTAACAAGTAGCTGAAACAGAAGCTAGCAAAGAGGCGCATGTCTCTCATCGTTGCTCATCTTAGCTTACAAATAACTCCGTTTTAAACCTAGCAGGAAAATTGTTATTTGCCGCTCCGTTTGTAACAAAGAGATCAATACCTSTAGTAGTCGCTTCCTTAACAACAGAGGCCGACTGACAACGGCTCCCGCCACTCTTTAATTTGTGAACACTGCCGAACGCGCGAAACGTCGGTTCCGTTCTGAGCGGATGTAGACAGTGACGTCACATAAATACCGGAAGTTTTCTGTTTCAGCAAGAAGCTCAACTTAAAAAAAAAAAAGGGAGCTCGACTTGGCCGTACCCGATGAAGGAAAAAYAGCAAAACATGTTTTTGGCAAATTTACGTCACTGCATTGACCTTTATTTTSCAGTTACTAATGTGCATGCATGCTCAAGGTCCGTAATTTGCGATGCATTATGGTCTATGTAGTTTAATTCATACTTCAGAGGAAATTCTCAGCAAATGCAAACCCTCTGCCAGAGAATCTCCACTGACCWTTAAGAGCAAAATCATCTGCAAGGCTTTAATGCAAACTACTGCTCCACTCTGCCACAACTTCTGTAGTTTGCTTAAACATGCAAATAATAGTCAATAGTTTGATTCACTGAAATGTTTYGACAAAGGAATTTCCATAAGGTCCTCAGATGTAAGATTTTGATTCTTGTTCTATATGAGAGTATAGATTTTATTTTGGTCACATAAATAATAATCCTGACCACATATTGACATGACATATAATTTTCAATTTTCAGTCAGTTGTTGCTGATTTGAGGTACTTTTGAGCCTATGTTATGATTTGTGAGCCTTGGGTGGGACTTTAAATTCAACCAAAAATGTTAAGAAATCTCTGCAATTGACGTAAGAAGACTTTCCGAAAAGAAATAAACTTTTTAAATGCAACGCACTAAACCCGAGGTGCCCAAAGTGGGGCCYGTGGGCCAAAATTGGCCCGCCAAGCCATTTAAATTGGCCCACTAGTCCTGGTTACTAGATTATAATTATGTTAAGATTAAATATAAAATACAAGTAACTACAAGAGACATTTAGATTAGATTTAAGCCCATATCTAGATTCAAATTTGAAATTATGAAAAGTCCCACGAGCCTTTGCTGCCTGAGCATACATTGAATTTTCTCCATGTCCATGGGCTGAAAGAAACAAACAAACAAACAAACAAACAAACAAACAAACAAACAAAAAAGAATGTGGGCAACCACACTGGCTCTAGCTCAATCATAAAAAAAAACTTTACTTAAGAAATGTTTGCATTTCTTATATTATTTTATTAGGCCCACGGCCCTCAGATTTGGCCCTTTCAGGCAAAATATTTGGGCACCCTTGTACTAAACGAAGAGTTTGTTGCTAGTCATGTTGGTGGGGCCCTCTAACTTTCCTAACCCACTTATACACACCGAGGTCGGAGGTCACCTGGCAGGATATATGTCAGGAATGCGGGTCAGCAGCTCCATATGCTGATAGAAACGGCCAAGTGTTAACAGAGTGGCCTGCAGMTATGCAGTGGGCTTTAGGATGCCTAATGCTACAGATCATAACGCTTCCTAAACTTTTTATGTGAGTGAAAGCACTTTATAACTTTTACCTTTTTTTTTCCTTGCTGAAAAACATCAAAACATAACCATTGTTTATGTTTATGGTTTTCTTTTTATTTGGTGGTTGCAACAATTTTTTTTTCAAATTAGCCTTCCTTTACTTTTGTGTGATTTTTATTATTGTAGTTTATAGATGATTAACAAAAATGAAATAAAATTGTGGCACTCCACAACTTTGATCACAATTCATGTATATGGATGAAATCATAAGCAAACAGTGGGTCGCTTCCATACACCAGTGCAAGATCTGACTAAAACATTRTTACGAGTGGCTATAAATGAATTTGCATTTGCATTAAACAAAGGGAAACACATTAGTCAGACGGACTAAAACTAGGATGACATTATGTGATTGTGTCATTATTAGTGAAAACATATTTAACAGTTAAATAAAAAGTGAGTTGCACCTGCTGATTAATGTTCAGCAAATTCAATTACCTGTTGTTGTTTTTTTTAATTCAGGACTATATTTTAGTTTTGACCTTTAAGTCCCAGCTGATAGTGTATTTTCAATATTATGCTACTAACTCCGCCTGTGCTTTCCGCGCCGCTACACGTAGAAACRTAAATGATGCAAACCCTTAAAGGTCCCTTTAATTTATGCTCAGCCAATCGCGTCGCATATCGCTAAGAAAACATCCAATCAGCTTCGCGTTGTGGGAAGAGGCGGGACAAAAAGGAGACGAGTGCCAATAGRACTGGAGCTCGTAAATAATGAGACCTCAGGGCTCCCGTTTGTTAGCACCACAGCGGTCTCCATCAAACCAATGCGAGTCGCTGACATTTAACCGAAGCCGCCGCCCCCCTTTTCCCCACTCCACTGTTACCCACCTTTTGGGATTGACCGCGACAGCTGCCGATGTTTAGCTGATTTTCGTGAAGCTGGGACAAAGCCGAAGGGTGAGTCTTGCATTTTGTATCCTACAATGGTTAAATAGTTGCTGACGGGCGCGCGCACAGGCACGCGGCTGCTTTGCTGTAGGTGCCTGAAGTCACGTTCGCTCCGCAACTCATAGCACGAACGTTCATAGAAAGGCACGCACGTCCAGACGAGAGCTCCGTTAACGAAGTCAAAACGCTGTCTCGTCCCTGTTGTCTGTGGACTAGTCTGGTTAAACTAAATATGGTTCGTTTCGGTTCGGTTTCAGAACTGAGGGCCTAGTAGTCGAAAGGTACTCGGGTGGGAAACAAGGTCATCAAAATGCATTCTGCGTAAATTGATTGTTGATGGGGTCAGGTAGGCTACAATAAATCATCAGACGTTGTACGGAAGCCGGAAGCTGAGTTTCTGAAGGTTTGATTTAATGTGSTTTATTCATTCATTCAGCTCACTTTCATTAATTTAATCTGTAAATATATTGAAAAGCGTAGAAAAACACTACATACATTGTAAAAGCTGCCATAGGCCTAAAGCCAACATTGTCTCCTGTCATGTCCACTTTAGGTGCATCTTTTTGCTTGTGTACACACAAACATTATACCCACATAACACTCAAAATGTTGTTATAATTGTTATCCAGGTGRGCAAAACCCTCTCTTTAATCACTCTGCGTTGACATGAACACTGGCACGTTGTTTGGAGTCATCCATGTGTCACAAATTCCTGATTACAACATATCATAGAAGAGCAAAGTCACAAATCAAGTTTAGACTTGATATGTGACTCTTCTACATCTACGCATCCTTTTCATTTTTGCAATTTCCTGTTCAAATTATGCTTCTGAAATGTCTCCACTGCTCGAGATAACAGTGGGAATACATTTGTTTATTTTCACAATCAAAGTGAATTTGTTTATCTCTGGAAAGTAAAAGGGATAAGTTCCTTTATCAATAGTAACACACATTGACTCATGGTGTATTGAATGTGTATTTTACTTCACTTCTCAGTTAGTTTTACTGTGTGATCCTGTGGCATATAGTTCAAGGAAACAAGTTAAATATGTGGGAGCTGTTCATTGTGTAAAATAATTGAGAAATGCTGGGTTTTACAGCACAGTGAGCAATGTAATGTGTAGTAGTGTTGATCAAGAGGAAGTTGCATTTGAGTTAACCTGGAAGTCTTCAGTTGAATATATTAAAKGCAATATTTATAGGTCATGCATGTGGTTCAAAATCAGACTTAGTTTGTCACAAAAATATAAAAAGATAAGGAAAATTTCTTTGGTTTTTGACATCATTTTATCTTGGGGAAAAAAGATTTCATGGCTAAAAAATGTTCAACACAAGATAGTCGTGTTTTGTGCAGAAGGCATTCCCTTTGTAGCTGAGTTTGTCCTATTTTTACCCAGCATGCCGCTGGCTCGCAGCCTGTCCGTCACATCCCTGTCGGGACTCGAGGATTGGGATGAGGAGTTTGATTTGGAGGATGCAGTTCTTTTTGAAATAGCTTGGGAGGTTGCTAACAAAGGCAAGTATTTATTTTCTACGTGTTTATTTTATTTTTACTTAAAACTCTGGAAACCAAACTTTTATTTAGCCACAGGAGTTCTGTTTTTATCACCGTCTTTGACTTTGTGTGTGTGTGTGGCTTGTTTTGAAGTTGGAGGCATCTACACCGTCATCCAGACCAAAGCCCGGATGACCGCAGAGGAATGGGGAGAGAACTATTTCCTCGTGGGTCCCTACGTTGAGAGCAACGTGCGCACGCAAGTGGAGCTGATCGAACCCACCAACCCGGTGCTGAAGAGCACCATTGACAAAATGAACTCCAGTGGGTGTAAGGTACTACCACATTCACACAGTAAACATGTTCCACTGAAGGACAGTCATTCTGGATGCTTATCAGCGGAGTAAATATGGTGTGGGATTTGTGAACACATGCTTTGAAAGACTTTTGTAAAACCGATTCAAAAATCAAAGGTCTAGCATTAAAGGAATGTGTCAYCTGCTTTTCGTGTCAGAGTTTTAAAGTGCCTGTGACATAAAATTTATGTAATAAATGTGAACGCGTTTTTGGAAAGAGAACATTGATAACATATTGCAAAACAAATTTCACTCTGAGATGAACAGTTGTTGAGATATTTGCATGTGAAGAAACATGAAGTGATGTCAAATGGGAAGATCTGCATGTAAACAGAGTGATTCTACAATAATTCGAGAAGAATCTGATGGTTTTTTTAGACTATTTAAAGTCACTATCAAAGTTGAAGAAGCGTTTAAATAAGATGATTTCAATAAACAAAGACTAAAGAGTTTCTTTTCTTAAAGAGTTACTTCCTGTTTCACTTTGCTGAGCCAAATTCAAGAGAAAATATGCCGGTTATGAGATAAAATGGGTAAAATCATGTGTATTATGCTAATTTTCCTAAATATAAATATGTTTTCTTTGAGTTTTTGTTTTTGAMGGATAAGCATGTCACAGGCCCTTTTTAAGCTAAGATCCTTTTATATTGTGGTTGAACTTTGATTTTTTATGTGCAAGCTTTCACTAACACATCAAATTTTAGCTCAATATCTGTAGAACCGWAYGAGTTGCAGCCWTTTTTGTGTTTTATTATGGATTAGCYGTAGCAACACACTTGAAATGGGTTTACTTCAAAAGCTAATCAGCTGTAGGTTCACAATCCAATGATTACCAGTCCTGTGATTCATGAAATATTTTGCCAACAGACACAAACATTATAGCTCACCTTCGCCTTTCAGAGACACTTGATTATCATCTGCTCCCCTTTTATTTGACCCGTTCCCTCCCTGATCACAACTCAGAACCTGCTGACATTTTCCCCACAAAGGTTAGAGGTTGTATCGGTGCCCTCCCCGTTTCACGCTCTTTCACACAGACACGGTCCAGAAATAAACGGACGAATGTGATACTCGTTAGGTTTTGTGCTGTGTCACTTGAGGATTGCTGTGGTTTCATGTGTCAAGCTCTGGAAGCAGTGCTAGTTTTTAAGAAACAGTGCAGCTGTTACAACAAAGCCTTTTTATCTCACAGAGTTAAAAATCACCGGAGAGGGATTAGATGAGCAGAAATTAAAAATGTTCTCTGTTGCAGTCCTGCTTAATCTAGTCAAATTATAATTTTAATTAAAGCTTTTAGCAGCAGACAAACACCTGTTTGTGTCAAAAAGACAAACTCGGACTGTTTTTATAAAATGCATTAATGAAAGACAAGCCAAATATTTTTGTAAAAGTAATGGTCCTGTTACATATTGCCTTAATAATTTCCTCCATATAAGATAAACAACTCTTCCCTCATGTTCTCATAGATCTACTTCGGCCGCTGGCTCATTGAAGGCAGCCCTTATGTAGTTCTGATTGACGTCGGCTTCACCGCCTGGTCTCTGGACCGCTGGAAGAGCGAGCTGTGGGAGCACTGTGGCGTCGGCGTGCCGTGGTTTGACCGCGAGGCCAATGACGCCGTGCTGTTTGGCTTCTTGACGGCCTGGCTCCTGGGAGAGGTCAGTAGAGTGATTTAAGAGCGTGCAACTCTAAGGTATGGAATTATGAAATGATGCAAAACACGAAGTGTCAAACCGTGACTCAGAGTTTAACAGAAATCTGGTACTCTGACTAATAAAATCATTGTTGCAAATAAAGTGAGAGAAAGCTATAAGATGAAGCAAACCAAGTTCAGTCTGTCTTTCCTCATTTCATAATCTAAACAGGAAGTAAAAATTGAAAATGCTACATGTGTATACTCTATGTAACACTTTAAAATGACTACACGTTTTTTTTTCTTCCTTTATAAAAGAGGATATTTTAATACAAAAAAATGTTTTCAGGTATTTAAAGCATRTCTGAGACATTTTGCAAAAGCATTTTGTGCATTGGTGAAGGTAAAATGCCTTTTTTGTCTACAGGGACAAAAACATGATTGGGAAAAGGCAGAATTGTTTTTTAAGATATTGATTTAAACGTGTGTTATAATCTGTGATACAGGGTAGATTTTACTGGCAAAGGAAAAATGGATTAAAGCTGTAAACTCTAAAAGTGAAGATGATAAAAGGCTTCTACCACATTTATAATAATTTAGAATAAACCCCAGAATTCACAATAAACAACAAAGAAAGCTGAGCTGAAGTTTTTTTTTTGCAGTGCATCAGAGACGTCACCTTGTCAAAGAAAACTCAGTAAACAAATATTTTGACTCCAGATCAAACTCTCACCTCCAGCTGTACAGTCTGTATTTATAATCAACAAAAAGGTTATTAAAGATGTTTTTTAAAATTTATTTATTTATTTCACAGTATGCAGCCCAGAGCGAGGATCCTCCACACATTGTGGCTCATTTCCATGAGTGGCTGGCTGGCCTGGGTCTGGTGTTGTGCCGACAGAGACAGCTGCCCATCGCAACTGTGTTCACGACTCACGCTACGCTGCTGGGACGCTACCTGTGTGCTGGAAGTGTGGACTTCTACAACAACCTTGCACAGGTATGGATATTCCTGATAGTCATTCTAATATTTACCACAAAACCCAAGGAAGAAAGTCATTCAGCAGCTGTTAGTCCTGATTCGGCTAATAATAAATGTAAATAGAACATCGTGCATTTTTATTAAATATGCAGTGGAATATGTAAGCAACGACATGCAGTTAACGACATTTTGTGTTTTGTTCAGTTCAACGTGGATAAGGAAGCGGGGGATCGACAGATCTACCATCGTTACTGTTTGGAGCGAGCGGCTGCTCACTGCGCCCACGTTTTCACCACCGTGTCGCAAATCACAGCGATCGAGGCGGAGCACCTGCTGAAGAGGAAACCAGGTTCATTCTGTTCTCATTTAGTAATGACACAGAGATTAATGACACATCTTTATTAGATTTTATGTGTTTGTTTGTCTCTCTTCTATTAAAATCTTGAGGAGTGGTGGTTAATGTTCCCCTACAAAACAGATTAAGAAGCTATTATGTCATTATTAGTTGAGGATTACTTTTATAAAACAGACTTAGAATGTTTTTGCCAGCGTTTGGATGTGCCTTACTTGGTTTAACATGCTGAAAAACACCTGCATACAGATCTTTTTTAAATTATTCTTGTTGTAAAAGATGCATAAATATGATTATTTCAAACACACTACAGAATATACTGTTAATTTAATTAATTAAAAAAGGGACAGTGTCCATAATCGGCAAGTAAAAAAAAAAGTTACAGGGATCCCTGATTAGTTGTAACATTAGACTTTATTTAATAAACATATTTTAACTGTAAAATAAAGACTGTAAAAATACAGTGGAATGTTCAGTTTTTATCATTTTGAAACTAAAAATGTAAAAATATATTTTCACACGGACGCCCCGCCCCGTCTGTGTGAAAATATATTTTTACATTTTATTTACACACAAAGCATTCTGGGTAAATGATGACGTGGATAGGTCATCTGTGCGAGGCTGCTAGCGAGCTATATTTGGCGGCACGACGGCTCAGTGGTTAGCACCGACGCCTCACAGCAAGAAGGTCCTGGGTTCGATCCCCGGTTCGGACCTGGGGTCTTTCTGTGCGGAGTTTGCATGTTCTCCTCGTGCTTGCGTGGGTTTTCTCCGGGTACTCCGGTTTCCCCCACAACACAAAAACATACAATTGGTTGCCTTCAGGCCCAGGCCGCCCTTGAAAAAAGAGATCAGAGATTTCAATGGGAC